CATTTAACATTGTATGTAATAATATCTTTGATCTTTTTAATTTAATGACGCTTGCAACTACGGTAGTCTTTTTATATTCCTTACTATATTTCTATGTGTGAACATCTGTAATTGACTCTCGGTTGTTTTCCTTTTAGATAAATAAATGAAATAAATACATAAAAACAAAATAAATAATACGCATTGCAAGGTCAAATGTATATGTTCATGTAAAATATAGCTTTTAGTTGAAAACAATACCATTAACTTAGTGTTGGCTTCCACCACCATTAGTGATACAATCGATGATCTCATTCCTTTCTCCCCTATATGTGCCAATTTCCAGTACTGGCTCTTTTTCCTGTACTTCTGTAACAAAGGACGCTTTTTGCGACGCGGAAGAGACAGCCATCAATCTGCTTGTCGAAGTGTCCCTAGTGGATTGTTTATCACTTTTTTGAAGAAAAACATTAGAATCAATTTAACTGAGGAACATTTCATATTTTGTTGCGAATTTCTTCTAAAGACGCTTCTCGAAAAACTCTTAAGATGATAATAAATGGAGCGTATCGCTTCGTTACTGCACAACGGCACTAAAATCTACAAATAAATTAATTTATATCACGAAAGTTTGATTGGCGTGGAAATTGATAATCTTAAAAGCTTTACCTGGATCTCGTCCTTTCGATCGAAGACAAGGCGGTAATTAAAAATCACATTCTGGATCTGATAATGAACGAATAAAATATAAATTCTTCCTAAATTTCTTTTCTAATCTGTAAATCGCTCACGTTACTGCTTGGCAGCTGAAACAGGTAAGGTGGTAGTATACCTTGGACCCACTGTCTCACAAGGCGGTTTGCTTCCCTTCCCCAAAAAAAACCATTACATTGCGCAGGTATTAGTTGCCTTGCGACCAGGCTAATACATTCTGAAATAATCTCCCGCCTTTACTCAAACTTCCATTGTCTAAGCCTGTTTTCGTTAAACCGTCTTAAAGCGACTTTGTTAGCAAAGTTTTATAGTAAAGGAGAATTAAAATTATTTCTTATACGCTATACCTGTCTGTTCACCCGTAGAGATAGATGTTTTATAATATTTTTTTGTAATACCCACCAAGTGACGGGACGAATGAGTCGTGTGCCTGGTGATAAGCGACGCGCCTATCCATAACAGTTGCACTGCCATTCAGAGCTTGCAAAGATTTTAGGGGCACTGCCACTGCGCCCGTCATCCTGAGACTTATATTGACAAGTCCCATGTGCCTGTAATTTTACCGGCACCCTTACCCTTCCTAACCGGAATGCAGCACAGCTTTCACAAAGAGCTCTACTGCTAATAAAAATAAACAGGCGGTCTTGTATGGAGATTTAGATATTATTGTCATATAGTAGATTACGAAAATAGTATCTACATCCAAAAATGTTTTTTTTTAAATATGATTTTTTCAAAATGGAAATTTCTTCATGACCCAACACTAATTGTACGTATTATTATTGTATATATATCTCGTTTTAAGAGTTTAACCCTGATCTTCATGCCGTTTTTTGTTTCGTGTATCTCTAACAATGATTTGTATCTGTACACTTATTATTATTACCACTTACTACCAACTATTGAATTTGGTTTTTTTAATCGTGTTAATTCGTTAGAAATTATTTTCCATTTTGTTGCAGTAAATATGATATACACCAACTTGTTGTAACATAGAACGAAAACTTGTTATTCTACTTGCACGACCCCAAGAATAATAAGAATTTCAAAGGAAACTTTGCGGAAGTCATGAATGACAAATATTACAACGATAAATATTGAAATTGTCTGCTTTAAGCTTTAGAAACCATTTAATTATTTTGTTCCAGCTCTGATTCCTAGTTCCTTCCTTGGGCATTGAACAACGTTATATTGTGCTGTATGGCCCTAATATCATTGTTTCATCAATGAAAGAAACTCGGTCTAAGTTCTTAGAATTATCTTGTATCAAATTTCTGAGAATTTTCCGAGGATTTTTTAAGATACAAATACATTTTCTCAAATTTCAAATGGATACATTTGAAGAAAAGCTTAATGTTTTCACGTGGTTTTTTTTCGAAAAGGTCCCTTTAATATCAAGCTCAAAAGTATCGCGGAGAAAAGATCAAAGTTCTGATTCGTCTTTGGAATTATATTCGGAGTATTGCTTTTACATGTTTACTATGTGTATAGAATATTGCGTTATAAAATATATAAAGAATATATTACTATTTCTATTATAAAGGAGAACATTGAAACAGTTCTTACAAGCGGTTTTCTTTTGGGAAACAAGTTTTTTAACGTTGTGTTTAAGTTTACTGATCCATTTTCCTTCTCTTTGGAAATGACACTAATTTTTCCAACAAACGAAACTTAAACTCAATCTCAAATCATCTTTTTTTCAAAGGTAAGCAAATTACACTTGATATCGTCATACTGATTAAACTCTACTGCCCATTCATAAGGCAGATTCCCCTGAGAAGAATGAGCAAGAAACTTAAGGGTTGCTAAACTATTGTTTTAAATCTCGTAAATGGCAAATTTTGAATATCACCCTAATGTAATAAATCTTAATATAAGAAGCGTATTATACATTACCCCTTAAATGGATTTGTGACATTGTGAAGACGACGATCAGGAACAGCTGTTTACTTTTATTCCTCGTATTAATGTTATGTCTGTCACTACGTAAACATAAATGTAAGAATGTTAATCTCAAACTTATCTTTTTTACGTAATACCAAGGGAGGGGAAGGAGGGAAGTCGTGCGCCCGCTGGTAAGTGACACGGCTATCCATAACAGTTGCAGTGCCACTCAGAGCTTTAAATCGCAAAGATCTTAAGTGCACTGCTACTGTGCTCGTCACCCAGAACCATAAGTTGACAAGTCCCATGTGTCTGTAATTTCACCTTTCTTCTTCGTCTTCTTCTTGTCCAGGCAATGACAGAAATGTTTTTATTCTTAATTATTCGAATATTCGAATATTCGATTCTCAGAAATCAGAAATAATCCAACTTACTAAACTTCCTAAACTCAGTCTTCCAAAATTCAATGGAAACATTTTAGTCTGGCATGATTTTTGGGATCAATTTGAGACTCGTATACATAACAAGTCATTACCTGATGTTGATAAACTGTCATACCTGTTAGCGTCACTCGAAGGTGCAGCAAGAGAAGCTGTAGAAGATATATGCTAACAAACCAGAATTATAAAATAATTATTGGAAGCCTAAAGAAACGATTTGGACATAAAAATATATTAACAGACAGGTGTTTAATTTCTTTGGTCCAGGAAGCAGCTACCTCCATGTCCTTGTCTGTTGCTTTTAGCAGGTCTTCGCAAGTGATGCTAATCGAAATCAGTAGACAAGAGCAGGTGATACAAATTGTTCTTGCGGACAAAAAGGTGAGACATACTTTGTGCGTGGGATCCGCAAGAACAATTGAATTGCTGTGGAAACAAAAAAAATTTTAAAATTTTAATTAAATTTAGGTTTTCTCATTTAAATCAGTAAGCTCCTAGCATTAGCTGAAATCCGCGTAAATTTCCGTTTATGTCACGTATATTGTAATCTGCGGGAATACAAAGTAAGTTAACAGAAACGCCACGAAATTACAGCTGTCTTAGGTCTTGACACGGCGCGTGGTATGGCACGTAAGCCAGTTAATTGAAACATATAGGGACTTACGAGAACGGTAATGTTTGCTTTATTTGGTATGCAGCGATATTTTTGCGGCGTACGCGGGGCATGCGAAGTAGCAGGGGCGAGGATTTCGTAAGCGTATATTTATTATTTTATACTCTTGCCCCACAGAAGCGGTAGCGGGACCGTTTCGGTGCCGGGAATATAATTATATTTTTTTAATACTAAGTGACGGAAGGAACAAGTCGTGCGCCTATGGGTAAACGACATGCCTATCCATAGCTTTAAATCGCAGGGATCTTAGGGGCACTCTCCATCAAATGTGCACTTAGGTTTTAATAAAAAGAAATCTACCATTAATCATGCAACGAAAATATTTTCATTCAAACACAGATACTCTTCGAGAATTCTATGGTGTTTATAAACACATCTCAGAATGTGTATAAACACATCATAGAATTCTCGTAGATTTTTTATTCTGTTTATAAGAAAAAAAGACTATCGCAAATAGACAGTTTGTTTATTTGCCAAATAAATTTACTTTTTAACAACGAAGGATATGAAGAACGGCATTTGAATGCACAACCCGGCAAATGCTGAGTCGAGACCATTTAGGATCTCAATATTTAGTTATTAAGCTTAACTCTGTCTTTTTGTCATGAAAAATAGAGGTAAAATACATTTCTTTTTTTCATGAATTACAATGAACAACAGGTTGTCACATTTACAAACCGAACTGCTGTGGAGTGGAATTCTCAGCCCGTAGACTTATTCCCAGAACGCTATAATTTGGGCCTTTTCAAGGCAAAAGTGAATAGATATTATTTTACGTATGCATGCTTCACCGTCGGCCTCATCGTCACTTTCCGTCGGGTGAGATGGAGGTCAAATAAATCACTGAGAAAATTCAAATTTTACATTTGGATATAATTATTCCTTAACAGTTTTTCCTGGGTATGTCTTCTATCTGTGGATTATAAGGATGAGAATGTTTTCCGATGAATGTGGCTGACTTTACTCGTTTCGCTTTTGTTACTTTCAAAGTATTGAGCATCATCATCTTTTTTTATTTTTAGATTAGGTGGTTCTATTTCATAGCCTGACGCGTTGCACAGGTCAACCGAAAAAAATGTGTACTTATTCTTTTGTATAAAAATAAAACACCGCCCTGTTTTTTTTGCACAATAACCACCCATGATCCCCCGCCAAGTCAAACAGTCGTTACGAATTTGTCGCCAGCGACGTTATAACCATTCGATTTGGAAGTCAATTGACCAACTCTCACTGATCTTATGAATCGTAAGCATGTTTGATTTTCTTGTAGCTTTGCGAGTTGTGATAAAACGTTTCTGTTTTCTTTACAGCGGCTGTGGGCCGGATTACCAAATTCCTTGGCAATACGGGAACACCGATTATTACAACCGGTGGCTTCACTTTTGACTTTGTGCAACCAAAGCAAACTTGCGAAGACGAGTTCTACATGCTGGTACGCACGGGACAGCTCGCATTCAAGGACGTCGCATATTTTATCATCAGCCTCTTGAGGAAGTGAGTATTTGTATCTTTATAATTTCAAATCTACAGGCATGATAGAGTCCCAGGACATGATTTACCAGGACTTCTCCATATTTCTTTGGGTACGTCTTATTATCGTGTTGATTTTTTGACACGGACACCGTTTTGTTGGCTTTTGCTCCACGTCATTGTCACCTGTTATTAGAGAGTGGCTGAGACTCAGCGCCACCACGTGGTTAAAAAAAAAAGGTTGTGGTTAAATCTGAGCAAGTCCCGATTGTACCAGCCGCTACACGCATGACGGTAAATTACTGGACAATCATGTAAATTGTTTTAATATTTTGTTTTTTATTATTATTGTTTTTCCGGTTTTTTTTGTTTACGTATATGCGTGTTTGTGCTTGTGCAATAAACACTTTCCTTTTCTTATTTAAAAAAACACTACTGATGAAAACAATAACATGTAACACGTTTTTGTTTCTGGGTTACATATCAATTTAATTTTCTAATTGGTTCTAACATGAAAACATGAAAAAACTTAATTTCCCTGCAAAACTTTGCTCTTGTGGTCAGGATAACGAAAATTTGAAATTTGCGTACCACAAAGGAAACGTACTAATGTTTAGGTTTCTCTTTACATAAAGACAATAATTGTAACTTTTTCATTGAAAAAAAAAACCCACCTCAAAAGTTTGTATATCGGCTTTTTTCGAATTCCCTGGGATCCTAAGGAATTCGATTCTGATGATGGATTCAACTCTTCAGATTGTGACTTCTTGGTGATAATGCGACTGTTACGGACTCCTTTGTACATTTTATACTTTTTTTCTGGTTGTCATGGTGACGTTGGTTTATTGATTACATGTAAAGTGTGAAGTGAACACTCGAGTTTTATTTACGGAAAATATTTTTTTATTTGTGATAACCGAAACTAACCCGGAACAGCATCGTCCATATTGATGGAGAAATTATAAAATTTGAGGATTTTCCTCGATTTCCATGGATCTCCTCATCAGATTCTGACTTGGTGACAGTGGGACCACCACGAGATTGCACCCTTTCAAACAAAAAAAGAATTTTCAATATCAGTCTACAATTGACGGAGAAATCGGAAAATATACGTCTGAACGTATAACCTCCGCCTTTTTTTAAAGTCGGTTTAAAAGGGAACATTGTGTCTCAAATCAATGGTGTATTTCAACCAAAATTCTGAAAACGTAGATTTGCGAGATAGTGTGAATATGACTATGTGGCTATGTAAATAGGCAGCCCTGTAAGTACCATTGTAACAGCTACAAAAGCAAAGTTTCAGGGATCTAGTTATTATATACTTGCTGCTCAATTAAAAAAACAAAAATCAATACTGTCAAACCAGAAACAGAACCCTTCTGGAAATTTGTTACATAGTGCAATGAAAGCTTAAATATTCGCAATTCATTTCTATTCATATTGTTCCAAATTACCTCCTCTTCGATATGTAGTTTCCATAATGTTTTCCTTCTCCGAAAAGGTCATGGTAAAATTCCGAAATACTCATATATGCGTGTCCGGATACGAACCCACAGCCTCTCCTTCACAGGCGGCAGGTCAAATCATTAAGTTACTATGGTTTTTATGAAATTGCCCCATTTGGTGTCATTTCTTTATCATAACTGAGATTTTTTACGATTCTTTACTCGTCCGTACAAAAATCTGTGTAGTGTGTTTTTATTATTTAACGTAGTCTGTCTAGAATTGAATTTTGTTGTTGCCTTGATCTATTCACATTATGTGTATAATTATATTATATACTAAATACCTTAGAATAATAACGCATAGAATGATAGTTTCATATCAAACGAACTGTCACAAGTGAGGCAAAAATCAAATTCATGTAGGCATTTTCGTGAATATTTATATAAAAATACAAGTTGAAACGCGTTACTTCCTTGTGGAATGTGATGTTAGTATCTATTTTATGTTTGTCGGTCGTATTTTTACACTCATTTACCGCACATTTCGTCATTTTTAGCTAAAATTCTTGAGCTGTTCGCGGTGCAAGTTGACCTTGAGCACTGACGGCCCGCCCGCTCGTGTAGGCCCTTTGGGCACGCTTCAATTTGCCTCACTTAGCGTGTGCGGACTAGGTTTCTATGCGTTATTATTCTAAGCTAAATACATTACACAACATTAAAATCTCTTTACAGTCACAACAGTCAGGTTATTTTAGATGCACTATTTACATTTTACTACGTATATTATTATTGTCAATGTTTAACGCATAGTCGTTATATGTTTTCTTTCAAATAACTTAATCCCTCTCTAATGACTGAAAACCAGCGCCTTAGGAAACCTTGGCATAATGTTGGGTCAGTGTCGTTTCACTGCTATGACAATCATGTTTTGCTTTTTTTTTATGCTTAATCTGTATTTGTGTTATGTCAGTGAATAATTTGTTTTAAAAAAAAACTATCTACCTATCTAATTTACGATTCATAATAATTTATAAATAAAATGTTTTACTGCAATTATTTCAAAAAACGCTACACGTATTACTTAATGCGATTTCATGCATTTTGAGTTTTAAGAGTATACTTAAGCGAGGACATTGTGTTAAAGTTTTGATGCGTGTTGACAAGACCAAGGACATGTGCCAGGACCGTAGCGAGTGGAAGGCTGTTGTCTCTGCTTACTCCGACGGGAAAAGGGCGTAAACTATTTGTATATACGTATTTACTGAGTTAAAAATTATTCGGGATCACGACCCCGCAGTTACCGTGTATAGTACGATCGTGTACAATTCTATGACAGCTTTGACGTAAAGTGCTTGATAAATATCGACATTTGGGGGGCAGATATAGCATAGGCTTTCTCCTTATTTATTCGCTTATGACATAACCATATAGAGTTAAATCATGATTACACTTAGTGATTTTTGCTTTTTATGTGCGGAATGAGTCCTGTTGGACGAATCTTGACTAATTATTTTTATCGGAAATGAAACTATTTTTCGGACATAAGATCGCATATATGTATATTCGTGTTTATGCAATGGAATAGAATACTACTAAGATCTTTAAAATGAAAAAAATAATCATCGTAATCGGTTAACAAACGGTAAGCATTTTTTTGATATTAGTTAAAATAGTTTCATTGCCAATGGTTAGTATCAATTGCAAAAGTCAAAGATTTGGTATTTGTTTTCGGATATTAAATCTGAAGTTTAAGCGCCAGAACTTAGGAACCGACCAGGTTATGAGATTTAATGACACTAGTTTGCGTAAAACGTTTTTTGAGTCACAAGTTCACTCTACCCTTTTGTTTTGTCACTAGTTCACATTACACGTACATTATAATGAAGGGCTTTAGTCATTTAGTCATAAAGTCTGACTGCCTTTAACTTTCTAGTCTACCTTATTGTTTAGTATCGAAGCAAGTCTGTGGTACGGAACAGAATGTTGTTATACACCGGAATATGTTCAAATTAATCAAGATTATAGTAATTATATACTCGTATGTCGTATACAGGGTTATTTGTAAAACAATAACCTCGCAGGATTATATTAGACAACGACTTTTTTCCATGACTTATTTTATAGTCATAAAATAGGTGCGTCTGACGTCATCGAGTGTATAACCAGAAATAGAGACGACATAAGGACCATCCATCCCAAGCAACTCGTCAGGCTAATGGGCCCTATATCACTTTTAAATATCAACTCGCGTTTGCGCTGAAATCACAAATTAGAAAGCTGAATAATACAGCGCCAACAACTGACATGTGTGTACGTCTCCGTATATTCCAAAAATAATCTGTATTTATTGTAATAAAGTCTCTATCAATGGGAGGCTTCTATTCGATGGTGTGGGAAAAACAGCAAAACATTTAATTACAAAACAAACGGAATCATATTTCATCGGTAATTAAATATTAAATATGTAATTTTTCAATTTTCGTCTATTACAACAAAGCAAGTTAAACTGGTCGATTTGAAGTGGAACAATTGACGACAACCGTCAATTATTTCGAATTCGGGCTAGCCAGTCAGAGCGCAGAAAACTATTCTGCCAAATCATTCACACGATGATTTGGCAGAAAAGTTTTGAAACAAATAAAATGATATATCGTCTCTATTTCTGGTTATATACTCGATGCTTGACGTCGAGTTGTAGACACACGACGCCACACCATATCATTAGTCATCTATTTTGTTTCACATTTTCTATTGCCGTTTAAAGAAAGTAACGTAAACCTATCTTTAATCATATTACAATTATATTCGTTCGTATCGTTGTTTTTGTGGTGGCAGTTCTAAAACTGCCACCACAAAAAGAAAGATAAAGTATGGTTTATAGCTTTTCAAATTTTTCCCTTTGAAGCTTTTCTTGCTGTTTTTTATTACTGGAACACTGAAATAGAACTAAAAGCTAATACGCCTTAGCCTTCATTGTCTAATTCCCCTAGATCCAGATTTTCTTCCAAGCTTTTATGTTACGGAAACCCGATGAATAAGTAAATAATCCGGATTTATATTTGTTAAAATAGTTGAAAAAGCTTTGAAACACAAAGGAGAAGACTTTTTGCACATCAAATTTAAAAAGAAACTCATTTAAATAGGAAAAAATGTACTCTTGACAATATAAAAGGCTATTTTTAGTTTTTTTTTTATTTATTTCATCCAATCCTCTTTCTGGTAAGGATCAAAAGTCCCAAGTAAGAGTACTAAAAATTACTGAAAAGGCATAAAGTTTCTAACCCATATTTCATAGAGACGTGTCAAATAAAGCCATTCTAAGTAGTCAACATGGACCTAAGTACAAGAAAAATAAAGTTAACAAATTGACAATATGATGTTTTTTAAAATAAAAACAAAAGCAAAAAAAATTTTCTTTACAATTATTTGATTTATTTTAGAAAATAATATTAACATTTAGTTGTATACGTACATTTAGTTATATATACTTGAATATTAGACTTTAGGAATTTTCTCGTCTCTATTAACTTTTCGCATATAATATATATGTACAATATATATATCATATATAGATATCCATCCT